GCTATGGTGGCCACGGAACGGCATCTGTGGTTGAATCTGTCTGAAATGCAAGATAACGACAGATTCTTCCTCCTAGATGCCCCGCTATCACCCTCTGGCCTTTTCGCCGATGCAGCCAACACTGTCATCAATAAGTTTCAGGAGGCGAAGAAGCAAGCGGCAGCGTTCCAACGTTTCCTCCCTCGTCGCTCCCAGGCCCATGGGGCTGCTGAGCGGGAGCAGCCCAAGCCGTCAAGCTCCTCGTATCGCCAGTCTCAAAAACAGAGCGTTGCAACCCGCACCCTTCCACAGAAAGATCGGGGGTCGGGGCAACGCTCTCAGTCGGGGTCGTCTAGACCGAAAACGGATCTGCGGACCGTTATTTTGTATAAGAGGACCTTGGCTAAATGGTCCTACCATTGTCAGGTCCCTGAGAGCAGCCTCACCTGGGGAGGAAAGGATAACACCTCAGTATACGGTGCCCAATCCTCCTCAGTGCCCTCACGGAGGTTCATCGATACCCTTGCCACCCTCGGTGCTTCAGGGCTCAGTGAGCTCCAACGAGCGAAAATCCCAGCTGCCGCCCGGCAACGGTACGGCACGGGAGAGCTTGACCCCTCAAGTGAAGGGGCTACAGCAGTCAGGTCGATTGTTCCCTGCCGGTCATCCACTTCAGGGCATCGGACTGGCTCCTCTAAAAAAACCAGAGGCCAGCCTTGAGAGGCTGGTTCCCTTAGTAGATTCTCTGGCAGTGTGGAAACTTCTGCCAAATATATCAAAATGGGTCCTGCAGGTTGTAGAGAAAGGCTACAGAATCCAGTTTGGTTCTCGTCCTCCTCGTTTCAATGGGGTCATTCCCACACTAGTGGGCCCTGAGCAGGCTCTGGTAATGGAACAAGAAGTAGATACTCTCCTGAGGAAGGGGGCCATAGAACGTGTTCCTCCTCTCTCAAGAGCGTCCGGGTTTTACAGTCGTTACTTCATCGTTCCGAAGAAGGATGGGGGGTTGCGTCTGATTTTAGATCTCTGTCTTCTGAACCACGCTATCAAACGGCTTCGGTTCAAGATGCTCACTATCAATTAGATAGTATCTCAAATCCAGTCCGAGGACTAGTTTGTTGCGATAGATCTCAAAAATGCTTATTTCCATGTCTCCATCCTTCCTCAACACTGGAAGTTCCTGAGGTTTGCTTTCGGGGGCGAGGCATTACCAAAATCGAGTTCTTCCTTTTGGCCTGTCACTCTCACCCCGCACGTTCACGAAGTGTGTGGGTGCAGCTCCGTCTCCTTTGCGACTCCAGGGCATCTGCATACTCAATTACATCGACGATTGGTTGATACTAGCTCGAGCGGAGCAGATGGCGGCTCGGCATCGAGATGTCGTCCTCGCCCATATGAGAGAGCTGGGGTTAAGACTAAACACCAAGAAGAGTGTACTTTCTCCACTACAGAGAACCACTGGAAACAGTACGCCTTAAAGTGGAAGCTTTTCACTTCATGGTGCGGACAGCGACTGCAAGACCCAGTCAACTGCCCAATTGGTACAGTTCTGGAGTTTCTGTTGGAGCGATTCTCCGCAGGGTTATCTCCCTCCACTCTGAAGGTATGAGGGTCGGGTATGTCCCTAAGGTGCCCACTTCTTCGCCAGGGCCCATAGTACTTCAGGCATTCTGTCCTCCTCCATTCCAGGAAGTAGGCCAAGAAAGGCTTAACCTGTTCTGTCCAGTTAGAGCACTGGACGCATACGCACACAGAGCTGCCCCGTGGCATAAGGCAGATCAGCTGTTTGTTTGCTTTGGTCCGCCAAAGTAAGAATCTCCGGCGACCAAGCAGACTATGAGTAGGAGGTCATTTGTGCTGGTCCTCTCCACACACTTTTGTCCACTTCTATATCCTAGACCTGGCATCTACCCCAGGTTCCCAAGTTCTCTCTTCGTGATGTGCTCATCTGATACACACACAGGCAGGGACTTGGTAGTATGGCACAGTGGGTATTCTCGTTCCCAAAGCGAATCTCGACGCAGCTCGAGTTCCTGAAGAGGAACGTCTCTAGGTTACGTATGTAACCATGGTTCCCCGAGGGAACGAGACGCTCTCTTCATGAAGGATTGCAACAGCACAACATAAACAACAGTTAATTCTTCATCATAAGAACTACTATGAAGCATTTTTTCTTGTCACTTATGATGCACCTCATATCAAGAACATCATCCAGTGAGGGCTGGGTGTCTTTCACTCTTTCACACACACACACACACACACACACACACACACACACACACAGATGAGGGAATCCCACTGCAGACTCCTGCAGTCTCCTCCTGTCTCTCGTTTGTTGATCTGCAATGCAGTGCCAGGCTTCCCCAGCTCTCTCTCTCTCTTTCTCACGCACACACAGCTATCCTCTGCAGTATGTGCGGTAATATCCTCCTCTCGGTGTGTTTGGTATTTAGCGGCTCATAAGAGCGTCTCAAGCAGTGCCATACCGCCCCTCACAGAGCGGAAAAGACACTGCAGGGAAGCGCCAAGAGCAGCTACAATATTTCAGATTTCATCTTAAAATCGATATAAAGAAATAAGAATTCAATTGTAAAAATAGTGTTCATTTAAAATAATTTAAAATAAGTGTTTTCTATGTGAATATCTGTTAAACTGTAATTTATTTCTGTGATGCGCAGCTGTATTTTCAGCATCATTACTCCAGTTTTCAGTGTCACATGATCTTCAGAAATCATTCTAATATGCTGATTTGCTGCTCAAGTAACATTTCTGATTATTATCAATGTTGAAAACAGCAGTGCTGCTGAATAGTTTTGTGGAAACCGTTTTTTAAAACAATTCAATATTTTATTGCGCAAGGATGCATGCAATTTATCAAAAGTGATTATAAAGACTTTTATAATGTTACAGAATAATTATATTTCAAATAAATGCTGTTCTCTTGAACTCTCTGTTCATCAAAGAATCCTGGGAAAAAAAGTTCCTTCGGTTTCCTCAAAATATCAAGCTGTAAAAACTGTTCCCTGTAAAAACAAGCACCATTATTATTAACTATGCACTAATAACTACACAGCAAATCAGCATATTAGAATGATTTCTGAAGATCATGTGACACTGAAGACTGGAGTAATGATGCTGAAAATTCAGCGCTGCATCACAGAAATAAATTACATTTTAACATATCTTTAAATAGAAAACAGTGCTTTTGAATTGTAATAATATTTCACAATGTAATGGTTTTTATTGTATTTTTTTTATCAAATAAATGCAACCTTGGTTATAAGAAGACACTTCTTTCCAAAATACTGACATTTGACCAGGTCGTTTTTAGTATTTAAATACAGATTATATTTTAAAGGAATTTATTTTTCAATGGCATGACAAAATGTTATAAATATAACATATATAATACAAACATAAATATAAATGCTATATTTTCTCAATAAAGAATTTGAATAATGTTCATAACGCATGTACTACAGATGTGCTCATGTGGAGCTGTGTTTATTTGTTTGTATTTACTTATATAATTTATGGGCCCAAGATCCATGTATTTGGTATACAGCATATATTTTATGATTTTATAATAAGTATTTACTGAATTTCTGAAGGATCATGTGACACTGAAGGAGTAATTATGCTGAAAATTCAGCTTTGACTCGCAGGAATAAATTGTATTTATGTATTTATATATATAAAAAAGCTGTTTTAAATTGTAGTAATATTTCACAATAGTGCTGTTTTTATTGTATTTTTTAAATCAAATAAATGCAGCCTTTGTCAAGAAGAGGCTTCTTTCAAAAAAGGTTATTATTTTTTAAATACAGTGTTTTATTTTATTTTATTTTATTTTTTGCAATTACAGGGGACATTTATAATAATAATAATAATAATAATAAACTAAATAAAAACATAACAGTGAAATACAGAGGAATGGATATCACAGGCATTGTACATAGAATATACTGTATAAATCTGAACAGTTTTTTTTTTAAAGATTTTATTGTTTGATCTATTAAATGGCATGACATAATATATAAATGCTATAGTTGTCAATAAAGAATTTGAATAATGTTCACAACGCATGCACTCCAGACGTGCTCATGTGGTGTTTGTCTGGGAAATGCAGGTTCAAATCTGGCCCATGCCATATCCTATTTGTTTCTCTTTTCCCTTTTAATACTGTTGTTTCAATAAAATGTATTTACTTTTTGTTTGTTTGCTTGTTTGTTTGCTTGTTCACACTGAACACTGGGGCCCCCCAAGGATGTGTGCTGAGCCCCCTCCTCTTCACTCTGCTGACCCACGACTGCACACCGTCACACAACTCCAACCTCCTTATCAAGTTTGCGGATGACACGATGCAGTGGGTCTCATTAGCAACAGAGATGAGACAAACTACAGGAGCGAGGTGAGCCGCCTGGCCGGGTGGTGCAGTGACAACAATCTCTCTCTGAATGTGGAAAAGACGATGGAGATTGTTGTTGACTTCAGGAGAGTGCGCACTCAGCATGCTCCTCTGACCGTCAATGGTGTGACTGTGGAGAGGGTGAGCAGCACCAAGTTCCTGGGTGTGCACATCACAGAGGATCTCTCCTGGACTGACAACACCGCAGCACTGGCCAAGAAAGCACAGCAGCGTCTCTACTTCCTCCGCAAACTGAGAAGAGCCTGTGTTTACTTCCACAATTTACGGGCCCAAGCTCCATATACTTGGTGTACGGCATATGTTTTAACCCTTTGGCAGTTGGATGCTGTGTTAAATACATTCGAAGGACTTTATTTTCCACATGTGCAACAGAGGATGGTAGTTTGGCTGACCTCTCTGTCCTCTGTAGCAGCGCAAGGCCCTGGCTGTCATAGAAACAGGGTCGGCGAGCGCTGTGATTGGAACGGATCATCCGTTGTTGCTCGCTGAGAGAAGTGCTGAGTGGACCCTCCTGTTGTAGCCCCGCTCCGCCCCGTGGAGCCGCTGCACTTCCCTTTGTCCCGCAGATTTGTTTTTTTCCATCCTGGTTGAACTCTCTAGCGTGACACTAATAAGTCCATAGCATCATATATGCGGCTTAGCAGGGCGCAGGGGGCATAGCCTAACAAATGTGTGGAGTCAATTGGTAAGAAACGCTTTCTGTTTTTCATAGGGTAATTATTTGCTAAATTTAAGATGCTGATCACCTGGACAAACTTAAGTGATGTTTTATGTTTAGACATACACTGCCTAATTATAAATGAGTGAGCTTCATAGTTGAGAAAGCTGTTCTGGTTGGTTTTATTGTCATTATTTTGAGTTTGACTGATTGTGTTTCATTTAAGATTATAATGTGTTTGTATTTATATTTCTTCAGTTTTTTTTAAATAGGGAGGTCTTAAATACTGTTTTATAGAAATAGAATTTCTCGTTTTATTTATTTTTGGTCTAGCATAGACTGACATTTAGTTTTGCTAGGATGTTTTTTGCTACACTCTAAGAAATGTTGGGTTGTTTCAACCCAACTTTGGGTCAAATATGGACTAACCCAGCTGTTGGGTTAAATTTTTTAATTACAATTTTAACCCAAAAGTTGGGTTAGTCCATATTTGACCCAGCATATCTTAAGAGTGTAGTTTTAATTTTGCTAGTACATTTCTTTGAAGAAGCCAATTTTTGGACTAAATCTCAAGTTGAAAGTCAAGATATTGTGAACATAATATTCGGATATGACATCTCAAAAGTCAATGATTGTATGGATAAAATCTGAAAAGACTAGAAAGTTTTTTTTTGCTAGTACATTTCTTTGAAGTAGCAAATCTTTGGACTAAATCTCAAGTTGAAAATCAAGATATTGTGAACATAAAATTCGGATATGACATCTCAAAATGACTCTGAAAAGACTTCTGTCTATGAAGTTCCTGCTAAACACTGAAGAAATCTAAGAAGAGATAAATGGATCAGTACAACGCTGAATCAACAAAGTTTCCCAGCATTTTGGACACCTTAATGAAGAAGCTAATTTGGTGAGAACACAGACCAAAAACAAAATGGTCAACTCTAAACACATTGGCCAGATTTCCTACAGGAGAAATATTGTGCTAACATCAGAGACAAAATTGGACGAAGAAAAAAAAAACTGAGGAAAACAAAAACAAGGCCGCAAACTGAGGCCGCAAAACAAACAATGTTGCTCTCGCCACATTTAACATCGAGCCCCTCTGGGGGAACAACAATGGCTTCAGCGAGGCCGCAGCGCGTCTAAACGTTGCTAGATCTCTCTCTGGCCCGTTGGGTCGTGCTCGACCAGCAAAAGTTGAAACAATTGAAGTTTTATATTTTCCATTGAGCTCAGCAGTCAGACGTGCGAGACGCGAGTGTAAAAGCTGGGTTATACTGTCACCCTTCATCTGAAGTCCTGTTATGGGAGCGTTTGGTGTGTGAAGGTTTTCAGGAGACTATAGGCTTCTTGAGATGGTGCTTCGGTGAGGAGTGTTGCTGCTTGAGGTACTGTGCTGCTGTTCTGGGGGAATGCCAAAAAAATTATGTTCTGGAGGGAAATCATGCAGAGAATGAGAAGGATGGGAAGTTTTCGCCTCTTCTGTTTAATTGATTTAGCTGTAAAATCAGTTGAATTTTACTGGCAGCTGATGCCAAAATATTTTGCAGGAAGGGCATTGTAAACAATGTGTGTATGATTTTTGGATTGAATTTTGGCCTGGTTATATGTTACCTGGTCAACCTCCAGATCTTGTATGATGCCTATGGACTGTTTCTAAAGGTTTTATTATGCCATCTTTCCAAGGAGGTCTTAAATACCAGGAGTGATCAATCCTGGAAGCTGCCATCTTTGCTTTGCATGGGCATGTAATTCCAGAAACATTCTTAGAGCCAGTCACCTGAGTGGTAAATGCCATTGATGCTTTTAAGAGCCCTAAAAATGGTCACTGGTGAAACATCATGATTCTTTTGTGCTACTGCACAAAATATAAAAATCTGTCTGAGACATGGCAACTTTTGAATGGCTGGCAGTGGAAAAATAGACTTTTTGGCCACATAATTGTGTATTTTTGACCCTTGCTATTTTTTAACATATCTTGACCCTTGCTTTTTAAAGTATTTCTTTAAACTGTTTAACTCTTTCAAAATAAGCTTCCATTTGTTAACCAGGGTTATTATAGGTAACTAAAACTATAGATAGATAAAATAGAATAAAATAAAATGGAATAAAACAGATTTAGTTCTAGTTACTAAAATAATTCAAACTAAACCTGAAATAAAAACGGATCAAATCAATAGTAATAATAATAGTAAATGACAAAACACAGCAAAATGACTAAATCTTTAAGTAAAATAAAATGAAATGAAAATACAAACTAATTCAAAATATCAATAAATCTATGATACAAAAATGTTACACTAGATACGTTCGTGTTATCTAACAAAATGAATTAACATTAACGATGAACAGTTGTATTGTTAATCAAAATACTTTAGTCATTTATTAATTTAGTAATTTTGTTAATTTCAGTATTTACATTAATCATTCATTAAAATCAAAAGTATCTGTTAATGTATTATTCAATGGCATTGAGCTAAGTTTAACTAATAATGAGCAGTTGTATTTTTATTAACTAACATTGACAAAGATCAATAGATACTGTAATAAATGTATTTGCTCTTTGTTAATGTTAGTTAATGCATCCACTAATTTAAACAAATGGGACCATATAATAAAATGCTGGTTGTAAAAAAACAAAACATAGTAATAAAAAAGCACTGCAGACTTTTGTATAAATGTTAATGGGAAAAGGTGTGATGGAGAAAAATTGAGTGTGTGCAGTGAATTATGTTGAGTCAATATTGTTTAAATTCATTGCGTCGATACACAAACGCTCCAGACATTGATTGTGCTGATTGGACGAGTCCATCAACAATCTGATTTCATCTGTGTGTTTCTGTAGATGAAACACGTTATTAAACAGAAGCAAACAGTCACTCATACAGGACAAAGTAAAGCTCCAGCTGCTGGACAGCGTGACACGTCTCAGAACTCGTCTTAGACTAAACATGGCATGGGGAACACAATGATTTACAGCTGTTAGTGTGACAGAAAAGACCAATGAACCATAGACTTGGACAGTAAGATTGAAACAATATCAGTGATGATTGGATATGGAGTAAATAGATGGATTTCCATTAAATATCCAAGTCATATTTCAGTACGTCAGTAAGTACGTATGTACATAAGTACAAAGTACGTAAGTACGTGAGTAAGAAGTACATGAGTATGTAAGTACGCGAGTATGTAAGTACGTATGTAAGAACATAAGTACGTAAATACGCAAGTACATAAGTACGTATGTAAACACGTAAGTACGTAAATATGTAATTACGTATGTAAATGTGTACGTTCGTTACATAAGTACGTATGTAAATATGTAAACACGTAAGTACATGAGTACGTAAGTACGTATGCATGTAAATATGTAAGTTCGTAAATGCATATATATGTAAATATGTAAATACATAAGTGCATTAGGTAATACTTAAGTGTGTAAGTACATAAATATGTTAAGTACATATATAAGTATGCAAGTACGTAAATATGTCAGTATGTATGTAAATATGAAAGTACATAAATATACAAGTACGTACATACGTAAATATGTAAGTACGTAAGTACACAAGTAAATAAATAAAATTGCATATAGAAAATGAAGCTTTTAAAATACAACTGTTCTAACTGCACTACTGTACTTACTACTGTATTTATGTAAATGTAAATATTTATTTCACATTAATGAGAATTACAGGGGAAATGCTTAATTGTAATGCAACCTTTTGAAACAAATCCTAATGGGTTATTTATAACATACAGTTGTATTGAATATAGTGTATATATTTTTGTATTTCATTTATATAAATTAAATATATAGTTTTTATGGGGTGAAACGCCTGACAATCTGGACATTCTTAATACATTTTTACAATTCATAATTCAGATTCATTCAGATAATCTTGGTTAACTTGAAATCTGACATGACTATTTAGACAAATTTCTGCTCATGTAAAAGCCTGAATAAACTAAATGCCAATCCCACATTTACATTTACATTTATGCATTTAGCAGACACTTTTATCCAAAGCGACTTACAGTGCATTCAGGCTATACATTTTTTTTACCAGTATGTGTGTTCCCTGGAACATTACATTACATTTCTATAGTCTCACACTCAATTCCTCCCAAATATAGTCAGCTTTATTAAGCATATTTAATAAAGGCCTTGGCAATTCATTATTGTTTGCCTCCATTGTGTAAAAAACTGAAATATTAATTCAAGGAAAAATATGGCACAATGAACTGTGTTAATAGTTTCACATATGTTTTACTTGTATTTTGAAATATGCATTGAGTTGTGTGTTATGGTTAAACGAAATGTACTGACAGAAAATAACCAGTACATTTTCCTTGTTCCTACAATTTTTATTTTTCTTACAGTGCATCAAATCAATGCGTTTATGGTACAGCTTGAGTCAATAAAATAAAACGCATTCATTTTGACAAATGTTGTTCAGCTCAACTCAATAACCATTACAGTGAAGTCAAGTTTATTTATGTAGAGCTTTGAACTTTGATTCAAGCTTTACAATAAAAAAACAAAAAACAAAATTCAGTTTAAGAATCAGTAATTTTAAGTACAACTTCGACTATAACGAGCCAGCTGGCAGATGAGACGGAGTCAGTGAACTCATTTCGTCTTTCCCCGAGGAGCACTGAGGTGCTTGCAGATATGTTTGTGGACTCACGGGATGTGATATTTTCCAGGTTTCCCAAGGGGACGCTACTGAGAAGCTGGCTCACCAAGTCCCGACCCAGACTGCTGCTGCTCATCGCCGGCTTGAAGAGGCCTCAGGTCACCCTCATGCGCAGGAAAAGGATGAAACGCACGAAAGTAGCAAAGGCCACGTAAGCGGTAAATATGGTTATTGTTGGATGTCAGAGTGACCTCTCAAAGTCAGCCCGACCACTTCAACCATCTTCCTCTGAAATGAACTTCAATCTCATTTAGACTTCATAGTGATTGCACTGGATTTGTAAATGAAATGGAAGAGTAGTTAGATTAGGAATAGAAGAGGGCATAACAGGTCAACACTGATTGAAGAACTGTTGATGACTCATTATATATCTGTGGGACCTATTTTTAGTTACGCACCAAATAAATGACCAGGCACCATCCATGAATAGGGTTTAGTTTGATGTCCCATTACTTATAAAGAGCATGTAAAGAAAACTTAAAATGCCTGTACTAATGCTGTCAAATGATTAATCGCGATTAATCACATCCAAAATAAGTTTTTGTTTATATTATATATGTACGTGTACTGTGTGTATTTATTATGTATATATAAATACACACCCATACAGTGTATATTTTGAAAATATTTACATGTTTATGAATTTATATATTCATATTATTATATTGTATATTATATATAAATATATTTAATGTATAAACATATATTTTTCTTAAATATATACATGCATGTGTTTGTATTTATATATATATATATACATAATAAATATACACAGTATACACACATATATTATGTAAAGAAAAACTTTTATTTTGGATGCGATTAATCGTTTGACAGCCCTAGTCTGTACTCAACATTACTGATTTTCAGCACATTTTCACAGGCAAAACCCAGTTGTTTCAATTGGAAACTGCACTGTTGGGAATTTCAAGAGAGGGTGAAAGATGTCCTCACGTAAATTTTAAAGTGTAATCGCAACCTTTTACTGTCACTCTGAAAATTCATGGGCAAAAACCAAGTCATTCCAATAGGAATCTGCACGATTAGAGGGTTTCATGATAACAAAAAAGTTCTTCGTATAGATTTTTCAAGTTGGTTAAATTAATTTAATGGCACAGAACAACAGAAAGCTGCTTGGTTTGAAAGTGTCTTCTGTGTGTGACAATAGACATTGGACCATTTTGTCCACATTTGCTGAAATTTTGCTAAAATGACTGCACCTTTAGTTTCTTGAATTTACATTACATTTATAGTATTAAAATATATATATATTTTTTTTTAATTATTAAAATATTTTATTTCCCAAAACTTGATGTTTAGATGTGTCCAACATGTTGCATTATGTTTTACTTTTATATGATTTTACTGCATTATTTTCCCCCGTTAAACAAAATGGAACATTCCATAAATTTGTGACACCCAGAAAGTGTCATCATTTGGACCCATTTGGACAGCATGGCATAAGCACAGTTAAAAAAAATAATTTTCCCAATTTTTAATTTTAATTAAAAGTAAAGGTTGTAGCTTTGGCAGCATTTAATAAGCTCAAGCTTTCACTTTTTTTGTTTATTTTTGAAATTACATCAAAACAGTTTTCCTAAACAACCCTTAAGTATTTATTATAATTTATAATATTACAACTATTATTTAACTTGGAAATTTATACAATCTTTATTATTTTTATGATGATTATTATTTCAATTTTTGCCTTTAAACCTGTTCCAAATTTTGTTAAAGGGGTGGTTGATTGCGATTTCACTTTTTTAACGTTAGTTAGTGTGTAATGGTGCTGTTTGAGCATAAACAATATCTGCAAAGTTACGAAGCTGAAAGTTCAATGCAAACGGAGATATCGTCTTTTATAATTCTGGCAGTTTAATGCCTACAAAAACGGCTGGTAGGGACTACAACGAGTTACTTCTCGGGTTCGTGACATCACAAACCCAGATAAACCCCGCCCTCGGGAAAAGACAGCAAAGGGGGCGAGGCCATGCTGCGCTGCTTTAGAGAAGAGGAAGAGAAAACTAGAGGTGCTCGTAAAAATCTATATACACTTATTTTCACATAGCTATGAGAAGCATTAAACAGGTACATGCAGTTGCTGTACTGTATTAAAGCTTTATTCGGGATAAAACCATATATTAAAAGCTAACATAAGCAGTAGCATTTACAAATAATAGCGTATCTAAAAGTATGAGACAACAACAATCCCATTACTTATAAAGAGCATGTAAAGAAAACTTAAAATGCCTGTACTAATGCTGTCAAATGATTAATCGCGATTAATCACATCCAAAATAAGTTTTTGTTTATATTATATATGTACGTGTACTGTGTGTATTTATTATGTATATATAAATACACACCCATACAGTGTATATTTTGAAAATATTTACATGTTTATGAATTTATATATTCATATTATTATATTGTATATTATATATAAATATATTTAATGTATAAACATATATTTTTCTTAAATATATACATGCATGTGTTTGTATTTATATATATATATATACATAATAAATATACACAGTATACACACATATATTATGTAAAGAAAAACTTTTATTTTGGATGCGATTAATCGTTTGACAGCCCTAGTCTGTACTCAACATTACTGATTTTCAGCACATTTTCACAGGCAAAACCCAGTTGTTTCAATTGGAAACTGCACTGTTGGGAATTTCAAGAGAGGGTGAAAGATGTCCTCACGTAAATTTTAAAGTGTAATCGCAACCTTTTACTGTCACTCTGAAAATTCATGGGCAAAAACCAAGTCATTCCAATAGGAATCTGCACGATTAGAGGGTTTCATGATAACAAAAAAGTTCTTCGTATAGATTTTTCAAGTTGGTTAAATTAATTTAATGGCACAGAACAACAGAAAGCTGCTTGGTTTGAAAGTGTCTTCTGTGTGTGACAATAGACATTGGACCATTTTGTCCACATTTGCTGAAATTTTGCTAAAATGACTGCACCTTTAGTTTCTTGAATTTACATTACATTTATAGTATTAAAATATATATATATTTTTTTTTAATTATTAAAATATTTTATTTCCCAAAACTTGATGTTTAGATGTGTCCAACATGTTGCATTATGTTTTACTTTTATATGATTTTACTGCATTATTTTCCCCCGTTAAACAAAATGGAACATTCCATAAATTTGTGACACCCAGAAAGTGTCATCATTTGGACCCATTTGGACAGCATGGCATAAGCACAGTTAAAAAAAATAATTTTCCCAATTTTTAATTTTAATTAAAAGTAAAGGTTGTAGCTTTGGCAGCATTTAATAAGCTCAAGCTTTCACTTTTTTTGTTTATTTTTGAAATTACATCAAAACAGTTTTCCTAAACAACCCTTAAGTATTTATTATAATTTATAATATTACAACTATTATTTAACTTGGAAATTTATACAATCTTTATTATTTTTATGATGATTATTATTTCAATTTTTGCCTTTAAACCTGTTCCAAATTTTGTTAAAGGGGTGGTTGATTGCGATTTCACTTTTTTAACGTTAGTTAGTGTGTAATGGTGCTGTTTGAGCATAAACAATATCTGCAAAGTTACGAAGCTGAAAGTTCAATGCAAACGGAGATATCGTCTTTTATAATTCTGGCAGTTTAATGCCTACAAAAACGGCTGGTAGGGACTACAACGAGTTACTTCTCGGGTTCGTGACATCACAAACCCAGATAAACCCCGCCCTCGGGAAAAGACAGCAAAGGGGGCGAGGCCATGCTGCGCTGCTTTAGAGAAGAGGAAGAGAAAACTAGAGGTGCTCGTAAAAATCTATATACACTTATTTTCACATAGCTATGAGAAGCATTAAACAGGTACATGCAGTTGCTGTACTGTATTAAAGCTTTATTCGGGATAAAACCATATATTAAAAGCTAACATAAGCAGTAGCATTTACAAATAATAGCGTATCTAAAAGTATGAGACAACAACAAGCAAAAAACATAGGCCTACCATTAAAGGGGTCATATGATGCGATTTCAATTTTTCCTTTCTCTTTGGAGTGTTACAAGCTCTTGGTGCATAAAGAAGATCTGTAAAGTTGCAAAGACTAAAGTCTCAAATCCAAAGAGATATTCTTTATAAAAGTTAAGAGTCAGCCACGCCTGCCTAAAACGGCTCATTCTAACACAATGAAAAAACAGTGAAAAACACATTCTGCATGAACTAACCCATACTTCCACACTTGACTCATGTCAGGTGGTTCAAGCCCTCGTACCAACCAGGCGGAATATGGGAGCGTGTGTGTCAATCCGCACACTGCGGAGATCCCACATGTCTACCTCACAATGTGGGAAGATTTGCATAACGCCGCCCCAGTGTTCACGCAAAGAAAGAAGGCGTAACTTTTATTCTCGCTGTAGTATTGTTGCCGCCGCCGCCATGTCGTGAAGGCGCTGTGTGTTTCGTTGTGAAAGCGAAACTACTTTGTTTGGTCTTCCAAAAGAGGCGATATCTGCTTTGTCATGCCTGGAGCTGATCCGTGCTGGTCGCTGAGGAAATACATCAACTTTGCGCTGTGGATCGCCGGATCGGCTTTCACCATGGACGAAGCGGAGTCCAGCCCGGGGTCGTCACATGTGGTTGCCGCAGGCATCACAATATGGTAAAGGATGTAACATTTCCGTCACACGCTTGAGGTATTCGGCCAATCACAACGCACTGGATAGCTGGCCAATCAGAGCACACCTCGCTTTTTCAGACCGATGAGCTTTGTAAAAATCGACGCGTTTCAGAAAGGCGGGGCATAGAGGAGAAACAATAATGTACAGTATGTGGAAAATAATGTGTTTTTAACCTTAAACCGCATAAACACATTTCATTACACCAAATACACCAGATAATGTTCTTTTTAGCAGCATAATATGACCTCTTTAAAAGCCGTGCTTGCACAGGTTCTGCATGATCCTCTTCAATAATATCCTCTGCTTCTCAATCGGGCTCAAACTGATAAACTAGAGGCGGTTTAGCCAATCACAACACACTGGGCTAGCTAACCAATCAGAGCCCATCGCCTATTTCTGAGGGAGGGGCTTCAAAAAAACAGGAAAAGATCAGCCCGTTTCTAAGAGAAGGGACAGAGTGGTGTGGAATAAAGGTAAATTTGGTGAAAAATAATGCGTTTGTTTTTTTTTAAACAAAGCATTAACACATGTTAGACTGCACCCCATAAACACAATCAAGCCTAGAAAAAACCCAGTGAACCACCCCTTTAACATGGAACGTTAGTACATTTTGGTAACATGGTTTCAACATTAGTAAATTTTGGTAGCATGGCTGCAACATTAGATAATTTTGGTAACATGACTGCAGCATTAACATTTTGGTAACATGGTGGCAACATTAGCACATTTTGGTAACACTTTTTTGGTGTAGGCACCAATTGTCACTAATATCTAGTTGTTTATTAGCATAGTGCTAGCATACTAGCATATTGGTTGTTAATTAGCACTTGCAAAGCACATATTAATGCCTTAATCTGCATGACCATATTTTAAACTAAACAACTACCTTACTATTAACAAGCAACAAATTAGGAGTTTATTGGCGCAGTTATTAGTGAATAATGAGAACTGGTCCCCAAACTAAAGTGTTACCCAAATTTCATATAAAATAAAAAGCTCATATAATATTACGTTTGTTCTCCTGGGGTTGATGATTAAATTCACTGGTCCTCTGGTGGTGGAACTGTCAAGCCATCTTTTGTACCCTATTCATGGAAAGTGCAACCAAAATATAATAAATAACATAATGAGTTTCTTATTCAGCAGAAATCTTACATGCATTCATTTGCGTTGCAGCACCTGCAGTCGTATGCCGCATTTCACTTGAGTCGCTTGACACAGAGAGAAGCTCCATCTGCCGTCGACATGAATGCAGACCCAGAAACAGAGAAAGCATCTCAGTCGCCTCTGCCAAACATACGAACTAAACGCCAAAGCAGAAGCGGTGCAGAGTTTGTTGTGAAAATGAGGGATCTTCCACAAAGATCCAGACCCCCCGACTAAGATCCGGAGCCTCCCAGTGACATTTGTTCATCTTTCTCTCAAATACACTTCTGTCATGCTTCTGTTCACTACACAGCGTGTGACAGCACATTATTGCTCTTGCCTTTGCTTGACAGTGCTTTCCTTTCCTGTGTTCTCTGGTCAGGATTTCAGGGACTTTTATTTTTCGATTCCTAATGATGTGTGTGGGTGAAAAAGAACAAGAAAATTATGAAAAAATAAAGAAAAACATATAATTGCCATGAGCTAGTAACCAACAGCACACCGGTGGTTTATTCATACTGTCAAGCAGTCAGACTGACAGCTGATGGTCCATTACTGTATCCTGAGGAGTAAAATAATTCATTTAAATGTCAATATCCAATGAAAAAAATGAAAAAAAAAATTATAAGAGTTATATCAATCCAAATGGACCATTATGTGGCCCCTTTATCATTTAATCCCCCCAAAAAAAGATCATAGAAACATGATGGAGTATTTATATATATAATACTCCATCATGTATATAAAGAATCAAGCAGCTATTTGACGTAATTTATAACTAATTGTTTTTTTATTGAACACGTCCACATAATTGTTAATAAAAAAATTGATTAATAATTGTTAGGCGAATCTCATGAAGCATGTCAAGTCTGGCTCAAACATCACACAAAATCCATGGTAAAAATAAGAAATTATATTTTGCATTAAGAAAATGACCATATTTTAGGACCATTAGGAGTTTTGTTTAAATATTTTACCACACATTTTACCCCAAAATTATCATTACTAAAAGGATTTTCTTTTTTCTCAATAGTTATTCTCATTACATTCTCATTATTATTGTACAATAATAAAATTATATAAAAACAAAAGCTAGCAAGTATAAATACACATTATTTTTAATTATTTTAATTTTATTTTCTTTATGCAAAATATAATTCATATATTTTATAAATGTTTTTTATAAATATTTTATTTTATAAATTATATTTTCAATTTCTAACTTGTCTTGTTTCATCTGATTTTGAGGTGAAATATGACTCTTCACATTTTTCGAGAGATTCACCCAACAAGCTACAGCACAATGAGTCAAAACATACGCTTGCACAGATTGAAACCCATTTTCTTTTTTGAACAATTCTGTCTTTTGTGTTCATATTGTCTTATATCTCTAGCTACAATGTCAAAGCAGACACACAGATTTGTTTGAAGAATCACATACGTTTAATTTCAGAGCATTTTAAGATTCTTTTCAGTAATTCTTTGAATAAACAAGGTAACACTTTATATTAAGTTGTCCCATTTGTCCTTTGTTACATATATGTAGTAATAACATAGTAATGAAGTAGTAATTGCACAGTTATAAAACAGAAAATATATTAACATTTCTAAAAATATACAGGCATAACTCAAACCACTGACATCAGCTCTTTATAACATTTGCATAGCAAATTAATTATTAATTAAATGATCCAAAACTAAGCACTTAATATAAAGTGTGACCAACGTGTGCCAATATGTAAAAATCAAAGCCCTAAGGATGATTTATGGGAATTTTTCTATTGTATAAGACACACACACACACACAGAGTCTAGCTGAAGTTTATCTTTAGTTGTAGTTTTTGCAGTGCTAGTTAGAAATCAGTTTTCATTATATTTAATCTAATTTCTAGTTTCTCATTAGTTTTTTTCAGTCTGACTGATTTTCCATTCAGGCATTAAATATGAAACCCATTAAGGAAGATGCAAAGAGATCCTGCGGGATAAGAAAGTAAAGATGAGCAGGTCCTAACCAGATGTGAAGCAACACGTTTCTTGTGTCGTTCGATCCGTCTGTGCTCAAACATGACACAATTACAGCCAGTCAGATGATATCTGACGTTAAATAAATTTAGTTATATGGGCCAATGAGAGTAGCTCTATCACACCGGGTCCGGTTAGGACATTTCAGAAGTTACGTGATTTCAGATGGGCGAGTGTTTGGGATGCTATTTTGCGGTGAATTTCTGCTGGATGAGCTTATATCTGTTCAGCTGCTGCTCAGAGACGGACGGCTGAAGGCCTGCCAGAGCCTGTCCTAAGTCTTCTGAACACAGAGTCAGAGCGCTGGCCTCTGAATCAACACCTGCATCACAGACACAGAGAAGAAGAAAGAGTGAAGGCAAGTAGTGCAGACATTGAGAAAGAAGCAGAGAGACAGACAGAGTCAGGCCAGAAACATCCTCTACTCAACACACAAGTGAACGCTTGACCAACACATTGCCAAAGCACAGGGTTAAGATAAGGGGAAATTACTGCATAGCGTTTGTGTTCACGTACTTGCGTAGAGTTTGTTTTTAGGCTCAGAGCGAGTAGCTGGAATATGGACATATGGGTTTCATGCATAAAATGTACTTTTCATTTCTTCTTTCGTGTCTCTATCCTCTAAACTTTAACCAATAAAGATCTCAGGTGTAGAACTGGCAAATGTTTTTCTTGTTGTTTAATACATTTGGCCAAAATCTCATGATATAAAAGATTAACCGCTATGCACAGGATATTTAAAACATACAAAAGTTTATTGGCTACAACTAGATGGCAAAAGCTTAGACTCTTCTCCACTCTTCAAACACTTATTCAAACATCAGTTTTTTATTTACCCTTGCATTGCGAAGAAGTAGACGTCTGTCTTCAACCTGCGTGTCGTGGAGGCAGAGTTATGAGGTTTAACTGACAATTTGAGGATCCAATGGTGTTACGAGGTTTAGTCACAAGCTCTTTTGAATGCTTTTCATTGGTGAAATATTTGTAAAATCCACAAACTGACATAACTATGACCAACAGCACTAAACATAATAGAGATAGGAAGTTTTTGATCATTTTCTACGGCACACCCGACAACCTGTCAGTGATATATAGAGCTGTCAGTCAGTGCTGAAGGCAAGTATCACTGATGCCAATACTACTGATGTCTCCTAATATTTAACCATTGACTATAACCATTTAACATAACAGTATAATTGAGAGCTATCAATTTGAACATTTATTAGATTAAAAAAAATATCAACTTCTAGTTTAAGTGAATTTAAAACAATCTTCACATAAACCTTTATTATAAATGTCACCTGTGCCCTTCAGCAAGTAGGAAATATACAGAAATTGAATAAAGTTATCAAACACTAAATTCTAAATTAAATATAGATGTATTCAAAGGTACAAAAGTTATTGATTTCCTCTATTTTCTTTTGTTCTTTGATGAACAGACATCACAGCAGCTGGGTTATTAGGTTATTTGGCTGCTACTACTTTAAGAGCTGCCGTTGCTGAACGTGATACGGATCTGACACGCATGCTTGTCATTTATTAGGTTATTTGGCTGCTATTACTTTAAGAGCTGCCGTTGCTGAACGTGATACGGATCTGACATGAATGCTTGTCATTTATTAGGTTAATTAGCTGCTATTACTTTAAGAGCTGCCGTTGCTGAACGTGATACGGATCTGACATGACATTTATTAGGTTAATTAGCTGCTATTACTTTAAGAGCTGCCGTTGCTGAACGTGACACGGATCTGACATGAATGCTTGTCATTTATTAGGTTAATTAGCTGCTATTACTTTAAGAGCTGCCGTTGCTGAACGTGATACGGATCTGACATGCATGCTTGTCATTTATTAGGTTAATTAGCTGCTATTACTTTAAGAGCTGCCGTTGCTGAACGTGATACGGATCTGACATGCATGCTTGTCATTTATTAGGTTAATTAGCTGCTATTACTTTAAGAGCTGCCGTTGCTGAACGTGATACGGATCTGACATGCATGCTTGTCATTTATTAGGTTAATTAGCTGCTATTACTTTAAGAGCTGCCGTTGCTGAACGTGATACGGATCTGACATGCATGCTTGTCATTTATTAGGTTAATTAGCTGCTATTACTTTAAGAGCTGCCGTTGCTGAACGTGATACGGATCTGACATGCATGCTTGTCATTTATTAGGTTAATTAGCTGCTATTACTTTAAGAGCTGCCGTTGCTGAACGTGATACGGATCTGACATGCATGCTTGTCATTTATTAGGTTAATTAGCTGCTATTACTTTAAGAGCTGCCGTTGCTGAACGTGATACGGATCTGACATGCATGCTTGTCATTTATTAGGTTAATTAGCTGCTATTACTTTAAGAGCTGCCGTTGCTGAACGTGATACGGATCTGACATGCATGCTTGTCATTTATTAGGTTAATTAGCTGCTATTACTTTAAGAGCTGCCGTTGCTGAACGTGATACGGATCTGACATGCATGCTTGTCATTTATTAGGTTAATTAGCTGCTATTACTTTAAGAGCTGCCGTTGCTGAACGTGATACGGATCTGACATGCATGCTTGTCATTTATTAGGTTAATTAGCTGCTATTACTTTAAGAGCTGCCGTTGCTGAACGTGATACGGATCTGACATGCATGCTTGTCATTTATTAGGTTAATTAGCTGCTATTACTTTAAGAGCTGCCGTTGCTGAACGTGATACGGATCTGACATGCATGCTTGTCATTTATTAGGTTAATTAGCTGCTATTACTTTAAGAGCTGCCGTTGCTGAACGTGATACGGATCTGACATGCATGCTTGTCATTTATTAGGTTAATTAGCTGCTATTACTTTAAGAGCTGCCGTTGCTGAACGTGATACGGATCTGACATGCATGCTTGTCATTTATTAGGTTAATTAGCTGCTATTACTTTAAGAGCTGCCGTTGCTGAACGTGATACGGATCTGACATGCATGCTTGTCATTTATTAGGTTAATTAGCTGCTATTACTTTAAGAGCTGCCGTTGCTGAACGTGATACGGATCTGACATGCATGCTTGTCATTTATTAGGTTAATTAGCTGCTATTACTTTAAGAGCTGCCGTTGCTGAACGTGATACGGATCTGACATGCATGCTTGTCATTTATTAGGTTAATTAGCTGCTATTACTTTAAGAGCTGCCGTTGCTGAACGTGATACGGATCTGACATGCATGCTTGTCATTTATTAGGTTAATTAGCTGCTATTACTTTAAGAGCTGCCGTTGCTGAACGTGATACGGATCTGACATGCATGCTTGTCATTTATTAGGTTAATTAGCTGCTATTACTTTAAGAGCTGCCGTTGCTGAACGTGATACGGATCTGACATGCATGCTTGTCATTTATTAGGTTAATTAGCTGCTATTACTTTAAGAGCTGCCGTTGCTGAACGTGATACGGATCTGACATGCATGCTTGTCATTTATTAGGTTAATTAGCTGCTATTACTTTAAGAGCTGCCGTTGCTGAACGTGATACGGATCTGACATGCATGCTTGTCATTTATTAGGTTAATTAGCTGCTATTACTTTAAGAGCTGCCGTTGCTGAACGTGATACGGATCTGACATGCATGCTTGTCATTTATTAGGTTAATTAGCTGCTATTACTTTAAGAGCTGCCGTTGCTGAACGTGATACGGATCTGACATGCATGCTTGTCATTTATTAGGTTAATTAGCTGCTATTACTTTAAGAGCTGCCGTTGCTGAACGTGATACGGATCTGACATGCATGCTTGTCATTTATTAGGTTAATTAGCTGCTATTACTTTAAGAGCTGCCGTTGCTGAACGTGATACGGATCTGACATGCATGCTTGTCATTTATTAGGTTAATTAGCTGCTATTACTTTAAGAGCTGCCGTTGCTGAACGTGATACGGATCTGACATGCAT